GCGGGTCGGGGGGTTGTGGAGTCCGGCTCCGACAACCCTTCGAGATTTAAATAACCCCGGCGCTTTTTCCTTGCTGTTTAAGCTCTGAGCATAAATTGAAGCAGATGCGAGTTTCCTTGTGCTTTAAATTGATGATGCGAAAGGGAAGAATATTCGAGTGTATTCCCGTTTTAAGTTTCTAAAACGTTTTTCCTCCTCTGCTGTTCCCCTCCCAGAGCTTTTTGCGTCGGCAGATGCAAACGGGGTTTGGACAGATAAATGAAAATGACCAAAATACGCAGAGTTACCGGATAGTAACTTAGATGATGCTCTCCGCAGATGTCACGTTTCTAAAGCAAACAGAAAAGCCATCGTATCTCTCTTTCTTCCATATGGCTTTGTTTGCCCATGCATTTCTGATGTTTACATGAATAAATCAGAGTCGCTGCTTGCTAGAGGATGCAGTGCAACCTTGCGCACCGAAAAGGCGTTTGTGACAGAAAGTCAGCCCCCGACGCACCCCGTAGTTCGCTAGTTGGTAGAACAGAGAGTGAAGTGCAGCAGTAATTCTGTACTTGTGATTCTCCATAAAACGTGCAACTTGTTCCTTCTCGTTATCGTTTTAAATTGTGTTAGTTGGCACCATCTGCAGCTACTCTCTGTAATCTGCAGAGGTTACAAAGCCTCTATTTTATTTCATTTTTTCTTTAGCATGCTAGACCACTTCAAGTTGCCCTGATTCTTTATCTTGCTAGTACTTTATTGTTAAGGCCAGATCTTCATAAAAAATCACTGGTGCTCAAGCCTAGGATGGCTGGGAATAAAACACGTGGGTTTAGACTACGTCTAAACGCTAGTTAAAAAAAAAATAAAATGGGTTGTATCCCAAGTCGTTTCACTGTCGGGAAGAATTAGCTGTGCTTGTATTGCTAATGGGTGATCTATCATGCCTACTTTGCTTTTATCTTTGGCAAATGCATTTTTCTGTAATGTTTTTGGCAGAATTAGGAGAAATGTAATTTACCTAAGTTGTTCAGTTTGAGGGGTATGTTTTCACGAGCCAAAATGAGTCACATGCCTTTGCTTGAAAATGGTTTTCAGTGACTCTGGTTTAAGCTGGGCAAGTGAACTTGCTCCTGTTCATGCTGTGTTGCTGTGGAATACTGTACGGACAGCACTAACTGGTGTTTGGCGCTCCCAAGCCGCCTTCTCGTACGAGTTGGGTTTTTTTTCTTCATTGTTTCCCTTTCAGTTAGACTGTCATTTGGTTTTACTTGTGTATCTTTATATGAATGTCACTCTGAAAGTCACGGGTGGGAAAGGGTGTTGTCTCTGTGTGTTCTCCTCCCTCAAAACAGATATCTAAACCCTTCTTCTTTAAGTATCAGACCTAAGTAGTTGGAAATCAGTTTGAGAGGCTTCTTATTAAATGTGACTATAAATTGTTAACTCTTGGATCTGTCCATAGCTTGGAGGAATATTATAGAAGTTAATTTATTTGAGTAGAAGAGACTGCCAAGTAGACTTTTTTTTTTTTTTTAATACTACTTGCTTATACTTATAATTGCAAATATTAATTTTGTTTATGCTCTCAGCTGTGGCTGGTGAGGCTTAATACTTGATTCCCCTGAATTTTTACCAAAACTATGGGGAAGAAAAGTTGTGTACATTTAGGATCGCACTTTAGGGTAATTGTATTCATAGTTATTTCAAGAAGTCTAGCGTGTTAGCAATGTCGCATGGGTGTCTGTTGCTCGAGGAGCGCTGTTTTGCATTGTTTAGATGTGTGACACTAATTCCTATGTCTATAATAAAAGCTGAGTTGACAACAGGGGTAAGATGAGTCGTTGTGTCTTGGAGGTATTAGCAAAATCCCTGCGTGCACAGAGTTCCAGTTTAGAAGCATGATGTGTGATGCTGTGGTCCCCTGGCTGGGGGAGGAACACGATGAAGCTTCCGTGGGCTCCATCCTAGGGGAAAGCCAGAGATTCCCTGATGGTAGCTACGTCGCCCTCTCGCTGGGTGTTGTGAAGGAATCTCTCTCACCCGGGCAAGACCTCGTCATAGGTGATTCCGACCCAAAGTCAATGCGCAGTGACACCCTTGCATTCAGCTCCTGTTGGTGCATCTTTGGTTTATCTGACTGTGGCGTTTTGGAGAGCTTAAAACCGCAGTAGTCCTTAAAACACGTGCTCACAACTAAGCCACAGGTTTCCTCTAGCTTGGAACGAGATTGCCTTTTACCAAGTGAGCTGGGTTAATCGGTCTGGTGTGCGTGCTGTTGGTTGAAAGGATTAGATCTGGTTCTTTTGTATTGGCAGGCTTCGAAAAGCACACTGAGGCGTTTGTTGTGGAGCAGAAAGGCTGCAGCCTTGCTGCTCTTGCACCGTAAGCAATGCGGGAGTCTCCTGCGGGCATTGGTATTTGCATGTGGCAGCCTAGAGAAAACAAAAGGAGTGTTTCTTCTCAAATTAAGGCTTTTGTCCCTTTCATCAGTATCAATTAAAATAAATGCAAATTTTTATTATAGAGTGTCCACGTGTATTTTTCAAAAGTTTTACGTCTTGTCAGATTCAGGGTGTTGACTTGCACACTGCGCTGCGTGGCTGTTTGGCACTGGAGTTTTGTTTCATTTCTGGAAGCTCACTGGTACAAGGGAAGGACCTTGTTCAGTGAGGTGTAGAAAAGAGAGCCTGTGGGAAAGACTTGGTAGGATTGTCTTGTCTGGAAAGTAGTTTTTGTTGTTAAAGGGAGCACTTGCAAAGAGATAGTCTATTCTCAGTGAGTAAAATGAAGTTTGTGAGCAGTACAGTATGCACATTTCGTAAAATTGGAAAGGAAACCTGCTTCTAAGTGGCAATAATAGAGACACTACTTTAACAAATGTGCTCTTGAATACAGACTATCCAAACTTTTCTATATTTTATTGACTGTGATATGAAACTGCTGATGAACGTATTAATTCTGATGTTCATTATAGCACTGTATGGGATTGATGCTTACAGTGCATTTGCATGCTGCTGAGGATCTGTTAATGTTCTGTTTTGGCTGGTTACAATTTACAAGTCCTCGCTCAACTCATGCACCCAGATCAAGGACAGACTTCAGAAACCAACTGTGCAAATATTGACATTCTTCTCCCCAAAGTTTAGATATTTTGTGTAATATTTGTATTTCATGACAGAAAACGGATGTTTTCTCTAGGAAAAGAACACCTATGTGATTCTTCTGGAAAAATGGTTGCCTGTACGCTAACAGCCTTAGATCAAAACAGTGCTCATCAGATCAAATGGTGGAGCAAAGACCGTTGGCTTGTGTCAGGGGGCAGGCTAAAGACAGACATAAATTTGTTTGTGTGCCTGTCATTTTAGGCAGTGATCTGGTCAGACAACGTATGATTTGCATTTTACTTTTTTAGATTATATCTCTGGCTGTAGGGCAAGGGCGAAGGGAATCCGTGGAGAAAAGTGAGAGGCACTTCATTAGATCTCATGTGTCCTCCTTGGAGAGGGTCTGTGAGGAGATTTCAAACCTCATTGCTCTTTTTGGTAGCAAAAAGTGTATTAATTATGACACCTTGATTCTTTTCTGCTTTGTTACTTCCCTCTGCCCAGAGGTTGAGTCTCTCATGCTCTGGCTCTTCCCCAGGCAGCTCACAGCGCATCCCCTCGCTCCGGGCAGCAGCTTCCACTGGTGTGGGCCATGGGACTGCGGCTTCCCCAGCTGCAGGGCTCATCCCAGCGCTCTGCTGGTGACTGGGGAAGGTGCCCGGGCCCTCCGTGGCCCTGCAGACCCAGGGTCTGTGCATGCTTTATTCCTATTCCCAGGTCCTTCACCTTCCATTTCCGCCACAAACAAACTTTTGCACTGAAGTTCACAGCCTGTAGCATTTTCCATTTTACAAAAAGTAACGTGCTGTGTTGGGTTTTTTGACTCATGCTAATAGGATCCATATTTGTGTTATATTTAATTCCCTGCTCATTGTTTTTGCTGTCGCTTCTGTACCTCAGATGCCCGTGTTTGCCGACCTGCCTGCCTTCTCATGGTGGGTGTCAGGGCAATGTGCAGTATTGGCTTGATTAGTTCTGCCAGTCTGTTGGCGTCTCGGTCTTTGGCTTCATGGGTTTTGTTACTATCATAAAGACAGTATAAAGGAAATTAATATGAGGATTACAAAAAGCCAGCATTTAATACTAAGAATCTTATTCATTATGCTTTGATTAGCAGGAGAGATTTCTCATAGCATTAACATAAGCAGTCAGTTTGTATGACAGCGTTGGTTCAGCACCTGAATACAAGATGCACATTCAGTAACATGCCCACGTTCAGTTTTCCATCCATATGTCTTCTAATTTTTATTTTTTATTTTTTTTTTAACTGAAACTCACAGGCATGACTGGTAAGAAAACATGTATTTTGTTGATCTCTGTTTCTTCCGCTCTCCCCAACTTTGGCCCCTGGCAGGAGGGGAAGGATTTGCTCGCTTGTTGCTGTACTTGCATTCTTGGCACCGCTGCTCAGGCTGGTAACGAAGCGAGTACTAATTCTAGTCTTTTTTAGGAGTTGAACTGAGGTAACTGATTTGAGGGAAACCAAATAGTAGCTCTCTCCTCAGTACCTCATTTGGCAACTGTACTGTTCTATGCATACTGCGTATTTAAAGGAGATATAATAACACTAAACAAGAGTTCACAGCTCCCACTCCTCCTGGGCTGCCATCTCCCCCGTAATGCAAACCAGCAAACACAAATATGCCGTGGGTTGGAAAACCCCCCATACTGTAGTAGCTCAGTGTTTTCCAGAGAGCCTTTTTGTGCAAAGGTCACTTGGAGTCCGTCTGCGGTGAGGAGAGGGTTTGCTTAATTCATACATTGGCATCCCTCAGCTTTCCAGCAGAGCTGAGACTGGCGCCCGCCAGTGACTGACCGCAATTGTCTCTGGGTTTTGAAATGCGACGGATTTCTCGACACTGCTAATTGGGTGCGAGCTTTTGCATTAGTAGCATTGCAAAACTTGCTTTGATGCAGATGGTGATGCCCTGCGTGTGGAAGGTGTGTGTTAAGAGCATGCTCTTTCGGGACCGAGGCATGTTCATTGTGCGGAGTCTCTTCTTGGGTCTCACTTTCTACTCTTTTTGGTTTGATAGAAGCAGAGCTTAAAAATTCACTAGATTATTCAAAAGAAACTTTGGAGTTGTTTATTCTGCAGAAACTCTCTATTACATTTTGGAAAGCAAACAACTGAAGCATTGCGAGGAGAAATAAAGCAATCACCATAGGAGAAGGATAGATTTGAGTTTTGCATATTAGTTTGGTTACATCAAGATTCAAGTTCGGTAACAGCTGTGCTACAGATTTGCTCGTCGTCTCACACTCTCTCTTAGGTTTCTGTAAAATATCACCATCGATAACGTTCTCCTTTGCATGCCGTATGTGTTGTTGATTGCCTGTCACATAACCCTGCACTGGAACTGACACCAAGCAGGGAAAATACACTGGAAAACTTTGCAGAATCTCCAAAGTGATGACGCAGCATCAGAGAAGCTGAACAGAATAAAATCTGTTCAGAGGCTTTATTTTTACAATGGGATGTTGTCTTTCGTCAGTGAGGTGTATTGGCCATTTCCACAATGTTTTGGTGAAGTGATTGTGAGTCTTTTGACAAGGTTTCATGTAGATAGGTTGCTAGTTACTAAGGTTATTAAGAAAGTTTTTATTAATATAATAGGAAGTTGTCTGAGGTATGAATAGCCAGATGGATTTTGCTCCTTTTGGAACCCAGGTTTTTTTAAAAAGGTATCTAAAGCCATCTTATTCTTCAGATGTTTTGTCTTTTTTCCCTATATAAGGAGAACACAAATCTGATTTTCTTAAAGATTATTTCATAAAAATAGCTGAATAGTTTCAGATTCTGGATCTTGAAATGGGACCATAAACATACCAGATGCATTTTTAGCTAAAGGAGATGCTCTGTAAATCTGCCGAAGCGAGGATGATCATCAGTGCTTTAGAATTTAAGGGAAAATTACAGAATCACAGAATCACAGAATCACAGAATAGTAGGGGTTGGAAGGGACCTCTGTGGGTCATCTAGTCCAACCCCCCCGCATAAGCAGGGTCACCTACAGCAGGCTGCACAGGACCTTGTCCAGGCGGGTCTTGAATATCTCCAGAGAAGGAGACTCCACAACCTCCCTGGGCAGCCTGTTCCAGTGCTCCGTCACCCTCAGAGAGAAGAAGTTCCTCCTCATGTTCAGACGGAACTTCCTGTGCCTCAGTTTGTGCCCATTACCCCTTGTCCTGTCACTGGGCACCACTGAAAAGAGCTTGGCCCCATCCTCCTGACACCCACCCTTCAGATATTTGTAGGCATTTATAAGGTCCCCTCGCAGCCTTCTCTTCTTCAGGCTGAACAAGCCCAGTTCCCTCAACCTCTCCTCGTAGTGGAGATGCTCCAGTCCCCTCACTCAATTGCAGTGATTGCAGTCAAATAAAGGGAACTGGAAACTTTACCAGGAGAATCGTGCCAAAAATGTTGTTTGACTGAATAACTTTAGAAATTTGGCTAACTAAGTCAGGTGATCGTAGAAAGGAAATGGATATATTATTCCTAATGGCTGTCTAATGGCTTTTCAGTGTATGCATTTAGAAAACTAATTAAACCTTATATTTAACTGATATAACAAAGTTGCTTGTGTTGCTGTAATGGGTGTTGTTTTTTTTTAGTGTCCATTATGGCTTTTGTCTAAGTGAGACAAATTTCATTCTCAGATAATAAAATTAAATCTAGGTTTTTCTCCTTATTCAGAAACACCAAGTTTTCTGATACAGACAATTCCATTACCTGTTCTTTTCACGTGTGAAATGGAAAAACTCATATTGACAGTAGACCAGAATTTCACATGTCTCTGAAGCCCTTTAAAGCCTAGTTTTGCCACTGAATTCAAGCAGGCATCCAGTAGTCCTGTCAGTGCCATTCCAAAGCTGGCTTGGCAATGAGACATAAACCTCCTGGTGGCTTAAAGACAGAGAGGTGTGTCTCTGGTTTGTGAAGAGTAGATGCATAAT